AACATGGCCACCGCTTTCTCAAAACGGAGCTTTTTAGAAACAAACAGCAGTCTAGATGCGGATCTGTCGAAAAATAAACTCTTTTCCGACAGATCCTGTAAGCCTCAAAACATGAGGTTGACAGGATCTGTCGAAAAAGGGTTTATTTGACAGATCTGCATCTAGACTGCCGTTTTTTCCAAAAAAGCTCTGTGACGTAGTGGGGGTACCTGGCTGGTTTCTATGCTGCTGGCTCTGGGGTAACCCCCACTGGCTGCCGTGGGTACCAGGAGAGGAACAAAGGAAGGGGGATGCTGCCCTGGCTGGGGGGCAGGGCGGGAAGAGGGTGAGTTAGTTGGTGTCTGGGAGCATGGAGGAGACAGCCTAGGGAAGGGGCTGGAGTTTAGGGGCCCAGTCTCCCCATCTCAAGGGGGCCTGAGGCATCCTAGCCCAGCTCTGTGACCAGCTTACATCTATGCTGTGCTGTATCCTGGAGAGGCAATAAACTTCCTCTATTCCACCGGCTGGTGCAGTCTGTTTGTGCCATTTCGGGGTGCAGGAGACGGGGGACCCCCAACGCGCCGTCACAAGCTCCGTTTCGATAGAAAGTGGCCCTTCCACTGTCATTATCCAGCATGTGGGGGGAGGGGAGGGTCTTTGAGCTGGAAACGTGCTGAGCCTGATGCCACCCGCACACCCCTGAACATCAGACCCCATTGATGAGATGTTGCAGATAAAGTAGATTAGCGTCCCCTATACCTAGCTGCCAGGACCTGAGGTGTTTTTCATTGCAGCAGCAACACAGAATCCTGCACTCAGGTGGGTCCTGGCAGGTGACCCTTTAAGTTCCCTATTAATGGAACCCACAGGCAGCAGTGCTGTTCCCCACAGCCACAGACGGCACCAGAATTCCCTCTGTAACCCTTCTGCCAGGTGGAGCCAGGGCTGGTTTCAATATCTAGGGGTTCCTCTCCATCCCTTCAACACAGAACTGGCTTGAGCCCCACCCAGTGGCCTGGGACAGCCACACTCCCCCTGGGCACTGCAGAGAGGCAACGCATCCCCCTCGCAAGCACAGAGTCTGAGCGAGGAAAAGAAGCTTTCAATAAAAGGGAGGGAAATAACACAGTGTTACATTGGGAACCATCACAGACCGAGTCCATAACCAAAACCTTGAGCAACAGTCTCACCCCACATGGACTGGGCCACGTCCTTTCCCTCTCATGAGGCTGTGTCTAGACTACACTTCTGTCGACAGATGTAGATTAGCAATTTCGACGTGCCTAATGAAGCCCTGCACTTCATTAGCATAAACATGGCCACTGCTTTCTCAAAACGGAGCTTTTTAGAAACAAACAGCAGTCTAGATGCGGATCTGTCAAAAAATAAACTCTTTTCCGACAGATCCTGTAAGCCTCAAAACATGAGGTTGACAGGATCTGTCGAAAAAGGGTTTATTTGACAGATCTGCATCTAGACTGCCGTTTTTTCCAAAAAAGCTCTGTGACGTAGTGGGGGTACCTGGCTGGTTTCTATGCTGCTGGCTCTGGGGTAACCCCCACTGGCTGCCGTGGGTACCAGTCACTATGCAAACCAGTATGGCCAGACACCCCCCATGGAGAGGAACAAAGGAAGGTGGAGGCTGCCCTGGCTGAGGGGCAGGGCTGGAAGAGGGTGAGTTAGTTGGTGTCTGGGAGCATGGAGGAGACAGCCTAGGGAAGGGGCTGGAGTTTAGGGGCCCAGTCTCCCCATCTCAAGGGGGCCTGAGGCATCCTAGCCCAGCTCTGTGACCAGCTTACATCTATGCTGTGCTGTATCCTGGAGAGGCAATAAACTTCCTCTATTCCACCGGCTGGTGCAGTCTGTTTGTGCCATTTCGGGGTGCAGGAGACGGGGGACCCCCAACGCGCCGTCACAAGCTCCGTTTCAAAAAAAGCAGTAGCCATGTTTATGCTAATGAAGCACGGGATATTTAAATCCCTGCTTCATTAGCAATTGTGACATGACTAATCTACATCTCTCTGTGGACAGAGAGGTGTAGTCTAGACACAGCCTCTGGTTTTTAAGTCCAGCAATCTAGATGTGCCCTTTGCATGCCCAGCCCTTCCTTGCACCCCATGCACAGTTGCTGCCCTTGGTCAGGGCAGACCATTCATCTCCTCTCTCTGCCACTACCCTGCTGGCTGCTCATTTCCACCACCACCCTGCCGGCTCTCAGTCACCATCTGCTGCCATCCACTAATTGGCTGTGACTTCTGCCCATCAGTCTCAAATGACTTCAGCTCCCAGTGATTTCAATTCTTAGCAAGCAGGGTAGAAGCAACACAATTTCAACACAAATTAACGGAAAACTGTGCAGTTTCTTGAGCAAACTAACCTTTCCTTACCTCATAGGGCTCTGAAAGTTGAGTCCCTGCATTAGCAAGGTTCTTTCTGCTAACTGTGAGCCCTTTCCTTAAGGGCAATTTAGCACAGTCCTATTTTTCCATATTCCTACAAAATTACAGACATTGTGCCATGCATTTAAGACAAACATAGCTCATGCTGGGTCACACATTAAGTGGATTACAATGAGCAAAATACCAACCCATCTGCTGAATAGCTAACACATCTAAGCAAAGCAAGAGCAAACTATTTCCAGAGATGCACCCTGGGTCTCTCCCCATGTCCAGCTACCTATAAGGGAATGTTCCTTCAGATCCCCTGGTGCCAACTGCTTCTCCCCTGCAGGCTGGCTGGGCTAGGGTCCCTGCGTGCCCCTTTTCGGGCCATGTGGCCAGTGTGATGCTGACCACCAGATTCTTTGAAACAACGTGTTTTTATTTATCAGGGGGGTGAAAGCATTAGAGAAACAGGACTGCAAACCATAAGCAGCCTCCATGCGTAGCCGGGCTCTGCTAGTCATCCAAGCAGCGTGAGATCGACTTTCCTCTTTACAGCTGCAGAATGGAATCAGCTGACATTTGCCTTCCAGCTCAGATGCTCCTAGGCGCCTGCCTGGGGCCCTCAGTTTTGATTTGGAGTCTGCCCCACCCTGTTCCACTTGGGTTAATGCTCTGCCAAAAGACTGGGCTAGAGCCATCAGGTCTACCTGCACTGGCATTGCAGGTTAGCTGGGAAATCAAGCCTGTAAATCCCATGCTGGAATGAAGTGGGAGCCGTGCACTTCATGCCGGTATTTGTGATCCCACCTCAGCACAGAGCCAATCAGCATGAAGGGGGATGCACAGGCAGAGATTAATCCCACACCCCAGCCTTGGTGTGGGCCGGGCTGCCCTCGCCTGCAGGACTCACTCCCCATCAGTCTGCAGAGCTGCTGACAGCCAATGACAAACCCTCCGACCTCAGGGGTTTCGGTGCCAATGGCCAGAGTGGAGCCTTCTCTGCACAGCCAGGTGTGCGGTGACTGCCCGAGTTAAATCCCTGCCACCTAGCTCCACGGGAATGCCTCACAGCACCCACTCACCTAGGGCCCCATACCTGTGCCGATTAGGCAGGCAGTGGAGCTGGGATTCCTTACGCCACTTGGAAAGTCTCAGCCCAGTTCCCCTTCCAGGTTGCCCTGATGCTTGGGGCAATACCAGCCCCTCCCCCCCAAAAAGCTCCTCACCCTTCTCTTTCAAGCCACTGCTGCAGATTCCCAGCAGCCCACAGAGCTTCCCGCAAGGCCATCCTATCAGAAGAGTGAAATCAAACTCAGGTGCCCTTCTCGGGTTCTCCCAGGGCATCGTGCCTCCTGCTCTACGAACTCCTGTGGGCAGAGGGCGGGTAAGCCAAGCACAGACACGGGCAGGGCCTAAGTCACGGGACTGCTCTCTTCTGGGCTGATCAGCAATATCTGGAGGGGGCATCACCCTGGCCTGGCAACATCTCAGAGCTGGATTTGACAAATTAGCCCTTGTGGGAGCCGATACCTTCATCCTGCTGCATGAGGCCAGTGAGCACCATGGGGCACCACCCACTGTGGCCCGCATGGGAAGGAGAAGGGGGCATGGTGCCTGTGACGGACCGGGCCATGTCTGGGCACAGCTGAGGGCGTCCGCTCAGGGCGAATTGCTCGAATCCGGAGCTCCTTACAGCCCCCCCGACTGGTGACCTCTCCAAACAGGCCACAAACCAGTCTCACAGAGCGCTTCAGCTGCCTGCCTGAAGCCTCCCGAGCAAAACCCCTCCGACACCCCAGCAATATCCGTGCCCCAGATGGCCCTGGGCCTCATACACAGGTGGGGGGGTCCTAGCACCCAATCCCACCTACCCCGAACAAGTTCTGTCCGGTTCCAAGAAACCAGCCACAGATCCCTGGTCAATTTACCCTCTGGACCTTGCCCACAAATCACGCTGGGCCAATCCTTTAGAATCTATATCTAAAGGTTTATTATTACAAGAAAGAAAAGCCTGAGAGTAAGGTTATTAAAGTACAGTACGTTACATGCACCGAATCTCCCAGTTCTCGATGCAGGCTCTAGCAGAGATGTTGCAGCTGCTGGTTTAAAAGTTCTTATTGCACATCCTACGATCAGGATGGTTTCACAGGTCTTCCGGGCTCTTCAATCCCTGCAGTGCTGCCTCTGGGATGAAGTGCTGAGCTGAGAACCCAAATGGCCTCAACCACATGGCCTCTTTATACCTCCTTCCTGGCCTCTTCTGGTCTCAGCCGGTCATCTGGTCCTCAGCCTCTCTCTGCTGGCAGCTCTTGGGTCTCCGCCCTCCTGCTTTAGGTGTGTCTTTGGGCCATCAAGGGCCATTGTTCCACAGGGCTTTGCTACTCAGCCTGTCCATAGCAATGCTCAACCACATTCACAGAAATATTCAGCTTCCACACAGATTACAGATTCCTACCTACACACATAGACATTATACACTCACATAAATAGCGTACATAAGATCAACAAACAATAATCTCCCATTCAATACCCCACATGGCTCCCCCCACACCAATTTCTGGGGCCAACACCCCCACCTAGGGGTGCAGCAGCGATCTGGCTGCTTCCCTCCAATTCAGCAACGTGACAGTGCCTTACCTGCTGAAGTCCAGAAAAAGCCAGGAAGGAGTTATCCTTGGATGAAAGTGCTGGTAGGATTTCAGGGGGGCGGGGCGGTTAACCAGCCCAGGAAGTTCTCCCCTACCCGGATCTATTTCTGAACTAGACAGCAGAGAAGCGCTGGTGAAAGCCAGCCAGAGAGCCCACACAAACAACAGCTGCGTTCCATTCCCAATCCTACCACCTGTGTCCCGGGAACTGTTCTGGGCAGCCTACGTTGGTTTCATTTTTTAAAATGGCTTTGTGCTAATAGCTGGCAGGCAGGGGCACGGTGAGTCACACTTTCCCTGTTGGGCCCCAGCTGTCTGGGGGCCTTGCCTAAACCCTCCCAGCTCATAAGCACTGATTGATCGTTAGCTTTTCACCTCGCTTTGGGAACCCGAGAGAGACAAGCAGAGGGAGATAAATGTTTTCACTGGGGGCTTAGAAGCTGGGGGAATGGCAGCAAAGGAAACTTCCCCCACTGCTCCCATTGGCCAAAATCAGAGCCAATGGGAGCAGAGGCAGGGTGGTTCCTGGGATCAGGGGGAGGCACAGAGCATATCCATCCTCCTCATGCCCTGCCCCCATAACCCCATCCCCCCCCCTCACATAGCT